GAATTAAATACAAATTTTGAATCATATAGATGTATATCACATTGTATTCTTAACGGGCAACGAAGTGCACGAGGATCATCTAGTTATTCTATACAGTATTAATAATATAATAAATAATTATAATTAGTGATTTTTTTTTTTTTAATTGCAAAATATTGAGTATATTATGTATATTATTATATTATTTTTCAATGCCCAATCTATAATGGCTAGTAACTACTAATTAAATAGTACTTAATGTATTTTTAAGTAAATATTTATGTTTATAAAATAACATACTTAAAATGATACAGCATTTAAAATTGATATAAATAATAAATATTATTTGCCAATCATTAATGAGGTAATCAAAAATGTCAAGTGAAAAATCATGTTCTGTTTATTATAAAATATAGATAGTTATTTTATTGTACAGCAGTCAGCAAGTAATAACAAGTAATAACACTTAACTTTGACACATTTATTGTTAAATGAATTATGTTTTAATATTACATCATACCTAATTATATGTATTCACTATCCTACATTTAAATAGGTCATATTATTATACGTGTACGATAAGATTGAAAATTAAATATGAAAAATATTTCAGGGAATGGTATTTGACATTTCTTTGAATATTGGTTTGCAATTCATTATTAATTACCGTGTTAAAAAGAAATATACAATTCAAAATTATTGAAAACTGATTAACATTTTGATTATCAAACGCTTATGATGTAATTACTTATAAAACTATCTAACTATATAATATATAAAATACAAATAATGTGTATCTATAATATGCATTATTTGTATTTTGTCTTTGTTTAAACATCAAATATGAATTTTTTTCTCTATGTTATTTATAAAAATTAGGTATACCAATAAGTCTCTTGCCCTTCTTATCTAAAATTTTTGAAAGACTTATTCTCAAACGAATGACTCCATATATTRTCAGGAACAATATTCTGCCGAACACCTAATTCGAATTCAGATCCTCGCGTAGTACCATTCATCAAGCCCATATGATTGTCGATGCAATATCGATCTCGTTAGAAAAAAACTTTAGTGTACCTGTGTCTTTCTTGATGTATCCCAAGCGTTCGACAGACTTTGGCATGACGGACTACTGTTCAAACTCAAAAGTTTTCCTCCCCACCCGTCCTTTCTCCTAATTAAATCTCACTTAACCGATCGACACTTCCAAGTTCATTAACACACTGCTTACATTTAAATTTTAAAATATTTAAAATAGAATGGCAAACATTTTTTGTAAGCTAGCGTCTGATATGTTAAAATTTTGGTAACATTTGGAAAAATTATGAGTATAATATTCAATGCYAAGTATATGTATTTCTTACAGATACATACATTCAAAACCAGTTTTGCATCTTTTTTTTTTGTCGTATATGGAAATTTGAAGTACAAATATTAAGATAATCGGATATTTAAAAAAACACAACGATTTAAATTATTTTGCTGTAAATTATCTAAACACATTATTCGTAAAAATTTGAAACTTTTTTTCAGCAACAAATGTTATTACTTACTTACTATACGTAATGAAATTTAAAAATATTTATATCCATTCTAAGCTATTTATACTACAAACCTATTAGGTAGAACTCACATAAATTAATAACAGCTATAATAATATAATTATATATACAAATATAAAAATATTATAATATATACAAGCAATTTGTTTTGCATTAGATTAGTTCAACTTATTATTCTACCTATAGAAAAATAAAATATATAATTRGTAGTTAAAATATCCTTATTGAGAGCAATTATTATTTATCATTGAATTCAAATTTAACACAATATTATCAGTTTCAGTGATTCATTCATTTTACTATTACAATATTTGTGCTTAAGCATAAAAAATATAATACCATTAGACCACGTGATGACCTATTCATAGAAAATGTTCTGTGAATTTCGAGTAAAATTAATAAAAAATATTTTTTAATTAATTAACTTTTCTTGTAACTTATGGTGCAAGTAGATATGTAGTTCTAAACTTCTAACTATTATAAATTTATTATGACGAATTAAAATAAAATATAATTCAACTGTAAAATCAATAAAAGATTTAAAGACATTTGTAGCTATATTAATATTATTTTTTATTCCGCAATAGATACTCGAAATTATAATTGAAACAACACGTTATAACTTATATGGTAGAGGAATTACTTATCAAAAGTATTATAAATTGTGTTTTATCATATTATTATTAATTCTAATGACATTATGTAATGCGTTATAAACTAAGCAACATTCTTATAGTAACGCGTTACTTCCGTTACATTTGCGCCATGCAGTCATAAAACTGATAAGATAAATAATTATATAATTTGTAAACAAAATCGAAAGACGTTAAATTGCCTATATGATACGCCGTTCGATAAGTATCTTTAACAACTACTACATAACATTTTGATGGTGTACTGGTAAAATTGTCAGGTTATCTAAATTTGTTTCAAACAGTATAGTGGGGTATTTTTTTAATTCAAACAGTTTGAAGTACTTTTTTCTCAAATTATTTACCTAGGATATACGTCAAATATACCATGAGCTAAATATTTGCACTCGTTCACACTCACACGTCATGTTCACGGTTTAATCCACGATAAAAAACACTCTAGTTTGGAGTGTATAATGGTAGTTAAACTATAAATAATATACCATATTATGTAAGCTCTCGAATGTATAGGTATCATTGTTTCATTTTGTATTCACATGTATAATGTACATACACATAATACCTATACATTATATAATGAATGTTACTAATTTAAATGTGCGTCGGAATACCTATACGAGTATATGACGTTTAACGACATTTAACTATTTAAGTGTAACACCGATATTATATTTCAAATGTATATTATGTAGGTATATATGTAACATGTGTATATGTTTACACTTTATAGTATAGTGTATATTATAGTATGAAAAAAATTGCAGTTTATACTTTTGTTGGGCAGGTGGTAAATAATTGTAATAAAACATATACGGCATAATATTATTTGTACGTATATTATGATATTATATGAATGCATGAAATTGGATTCACGTGCAAAGCTTGTTGTTGAAACGTGTAGTTAAGCACTGCACGCCGTACTTAGGTTGATCCCCTTGTACACTATAAAAATTATATAAATCCGTATCAAACATCGTTGGTTTCTGTGTTTAAAAAATGTATGTACACACCTGTAACCTACTATAGTAATATATAATTTTATATCTCAATCCCCACAACTATTTTCACTAAAATAGTGTTTTAAACTTATAAGTGATTCAATAACATTTTTAGATTGAAGTAACTGTAATTACTAATTTTTATTACGTGGAAACAATTTGAAACAACGAACTTACCTCCATTTTTAAATTTTTTATCTTCCTAATAATTTCCCTTAACTATTGGAATTATACACATGTCGTTATGAAAGTAAAAAAAAACATAAAATAGCACATTTATTTACTTAAAAAATATCTGTTCYCTACTGTAATAGGTACGTTTCACTTTTAAATATATTTTTATATTGTGCTTGGACATCATTCACGACCAATCATAACGATATGGCATAAACAAATCAAATTACTGTTACGATTACTACAATAATAGTCAATAATATCAAATGATTGTTGATTTTCTGTTTTTAGTTAAAGCGATTCGTCACGATGAAATAATTTAATAAACATATGATTAATTATTTATTTATACAAAGGTATCCAGCTAGTCCGACTAGTAATTATGATATCATATACTTAATAGTGGTATTGATTTACTATCCCATGCATTAAGCAAATCACTAACGATCCACATGGGCGGATGGGAGTTAAAAATAATTATAAACAGTACGTTATTATAATCAATTTTAAACACTACGACGTAAACTTAGGTATGATAGGTTATAAGTATCTATCTATCTATTTTATAGTCGATGTTAATATTATTTTATAGTTGAAAGTTAGAACGATTTGTTGTAACGTATGCTGTACATATTGTGCATTCGTAAATCGTAATAGAAACGTGTTGTGTATAATAACAATAATAATTATAATAAAAAGAATAATGTTATGCTTGATAGTCGAATCTCATAACTTGAAAGGAATCCCGCACTGAGATGGTTTAATGTCAAAATTACAGTCGGTTATCACTTAATGACAAACAACATTATGATTATTGCTCTCATGTGGTCTTATCGAGCGCATGATATTGGGAATCGTACGTTGTGTGTTGTATGATCGTATCGTATGGTACCTATAGACAATATAGTGCGTATAGGTATATTATTATAAAATGTACATGTATTTTGATATCCTGGCCAATGGACGAGCAGAAAAAAATTGAATCGTTGTCGTTTACAGTGACGGGGGAAACTATACTCCACGGCCTTAGCTTATACATCAATATACACGTCCTACAAGTCAACTGGTCAACGATGACTATCGTTAAATACCTACTTTACAATATATTTAGTATAAATCATACAATAACAAATTAATTGAACCATAGGCGGTGGCGAGCGTGTTTCTTTTCCGCATGCATCAACAATAACAAAAAATTTGCATTTTTTGCGGATGTCATACCGTAACAAAAAATAATACGCAAATAAAAAATTACAGTGTGATGTGCAATTCTATACATAACATTATATCATAAATCATAATAATATTTTACAATAAATAAAAATAGCTAATGCGTTGAAGTGCCCGTTGTGCATTGTGCAACACGTTTTGAGATAGCGATAGCGTCGCGCGTTGCTGTTATCAAGCGATGCAGACGCGGTCACCAGGCTATAGGTAAATTGGTTAGATGGAGGTTACCGCGCGCACAGGTCGTGACCATCACCACGACGGTTGTCAGTGGTGCGCGGTATAGACCACCGCCGATCATCCATGGTACCTATGGCCTGCCTGCCGTGGCGAACGCAAACGGCTCTTATCATTTATCATTTTTTTCTTTTCAAAAATTGAATAATATTATTAATGTAAGATACGTCTTGTATGTAACTATTATTATTAATCGTTAATTATTGTTATTATTTATTGAGATCCGTGTAAATATTGTAAATATTCGCTAACGTCGTTCGTACAACGACGACAGATACGACGTCGGAAAACAACGTTTTAAATGAGCAACATCGCCGTCGAACCAATTCGTTGAATAAATAACAACAGCATTAATTTTTGACGTTCAGAGTTTTTATGGTATGTATACGCCATGCACAGAAAGTCGTTATGTGTTTAGTTTGGATGCTGCGACGATATTGTCACTGCCAAAATTGTTTGTCCGGCCACTGTCTGTTGACTGAAGTTTGCGCAATAGCTCTTGTTTGAGTCAGATACTGCGACTGTCATGGACTGGAAGGCGGTCATATGCCAACAACTGGAGAGCAGAAACTCCAGGGAGACAGCCAGCTTTCAAAATCTAATCAATTTCTGTAAGTATACCTAATCCTGACTTGATTCAATTGTAATTATTACTTACAATTTGGTTATGTTATTTTTTGTTTTGGTCATTTACAGATAATAAAATCTATGACAGTTCAATTCTATTGCGAGCACAAAATCATCAGTTAGAATCCCAAATCATACGGGGTAATACTGGTAGTGATTCTGTGTACTCTGAAAAAATATCGGCTTTAGAACAAAAATTGCTTGTTCAACAAGAAGAATTGACCGAATTGCATCGTAGACGTGGGGAAAATGCTCAAATGATTATAGATTTAAATGCGAAATTACAATTGACCGAGCAAACACTTACAAGTAAAAACAACAGGTCTGTGATTGTGTACTAAATTATTCAATACTTGAATATTAACTGGTTGTTGGATTATTTGTCTGTTATTAATTAGGTAAACTAATTCTTAAAATAACATAATGATGCTGTAATAGTATTAAAACTATTTTTGTACAATTTTGTTTACTAATTCATAATTATTCTGTTACTAATGTTACAGCAAGTGTTAGTTTATAGATTTAATAAGTTGTAATTTTTTTTTTTTAACAGCTATGAAAATGTATGTTATTCTAATTTAAACGCCATAAAATATATTTTTATACTTTGGTAAAAGGTACATAAAACATCATGATCATTTACTTTGTTTTATAACTATTATTAATAACATTTTATTTTAGAATACTATTATTTAGAACCTAAACAATGTGCAACTCATTTATTATAAATGCAATAGGAAGATAGATAGTCAATTGTATTTGAAAGTTAATTCTACAATCAAATATTATATTAAAGTGCTTATTATCATTATTAATGAATATATTTTATGATTGTTAATAATTGTTAGAATTTTATGATAATATAATTTAAGTATATATATATTATGTAAAAACTTTCTCATTATGTTTTATCATTTAACTACTGATTAAGGAATAATACATTTTATTTTGTTTATACTAATTTTTGCTTGCTGAAAATTAATATTTAGTTAATTCAATTATTTTATTTGAAATAAAATCGSACTTTAACTGAAAACTGAATGTAAGACAATATTTGATAAGAAGTATATTATTAAGTTGTTTTTAAATAAATGATGCATTAAAAAAAATATTTTATTCATGGTTTTTGTAAAATCTTGTAAAACATAACATGTGTCTACTTCATGTATGTATTTGGTGTTTTTTTTTTAAACAATAATTTATATACTTAATCAAGTAGAGTTATTTTTTCTTCAAAACAGAATAGATAAAATATTACATACAATTATATCTATATCTTGTGAATGTTTTTATCAAATGATGGTAGTAGATTCTTTTAATGTTCTATTAAATTGTATACTTTACGTATTAGCTAAATTAAACTTTTTTAAATATTTGGGGATAACATTTTTATAGTTTAAAGTAATATATTATATTTTAATTTTAATTTTTTTTTTATATTTCTCATTAGTAAATAGTATTAAATATTTTGTTAAGTATACAATATGGTCAATATTTTTGTTGAATTAAATCAATATTAATAATAATAGTAATGCTGTAAATGCATTTTTTGAAATTAATTTTCTTTCATAAATTCTTTTAAAATGATTTGTGCTGGTTAATTGAAAACTAAGTGATTTGGAAAAATTTAAATCATGTTTTATTGTATAGTATACTAAAAATGTGCATTGATAACTTCACAATTATGTTCAATATGCAAATTATATTTTATAACTTCTTCATTTTTATTTTATGTAGTTTTTTAAGCGCAATGTAAGGATTAGAATTATATACTAATATAAAACCATACAAAATTGTACAGTAAATTATTAATCATAGTATCTATTTAACATTGAAAATTCAAATTAATAATTAAAAATACAAAGTAATGTACTAAGATGATAAATATTAAAAAAAAAAAAATGTTATAAATTCATTTCCAACATTCAGTTTGATTATAATTTATTTTTGATGTGGTAAGTTTTAACAATGTGTGATTATTAAATGTAGAAATATTTTTGTAATTTTTAAATCTCATTCTACTTTATCCATCATAATTCATTTAGAAATTAATGATCTACCTTCGGTACAACGACTCAAGCTGGGACGTTTGCATGATCTAATTTGATTATGTTTTTAATTTATAATAATTTTTCATCATTATATACATCATTAATTTATTATATCTGTTATATCACTGTTAACATTGTTTTAGTAATTCTATAAATATAATTGTGACTTTTATCTCTATTTATTTGCATTATATAAATTGACATATTTTGTTAATTACATTAAAATTTGTATTTTATGTATTTAACGACAAGTTTAGAAGGTAGTCAGGGAAATCTAAAAAATTATAATTCTGTATTTACAAATTGTTGCTAAGTTTCTAACACAAAATTTTAACAATTAATACTATTATAAACATACAATATTATGCGTATAAATAACAATTATGACACATTTTTTAATATAATATATAAGTGTATATGGGTTGTTTTATAATATCCTTTATTGTTTTATGATTTAAAGTATTAAAAAATTGTATAACATTTTATGATTGCAGTTTGATTGAAAGTTTAAAGTTAGTTGCTAGTTTAAGAGCGGAAATATCGTTATACCAGAAAAATAATTCAGAGCTAAAGCAATTAAATCAAGTTCTCAAAGATGAGCATCAAGCATTACAATTGGCTTTTACTAAACTTGAAGAAAAATTACGTGCATTTCAAGTAATTGTTTGTTATTCTTATTACTTATTAAATTATAGTTATTAATATATATTTTTAGGCTATAGTAATTATGATTTAAGCTTAAAAATAAACTAATAAAATCCTTTGAATTTTTTTTTATTCATATATAATAAATATAAAATTTATATATATATAATAATATATATTTATATTACTTAATACTTCTTATATTATATAAAATAATGAAATTCTGCGGAGAAATACTAGTGTTTCTTTAAAAATACTTGCCCATTAAAAATTTAAGGAACTCTAGAGTACTTAGACATGCTTCCAACACTATCTACAAATAAAACAATATCCACAGTAACAATTTACATTTTTGTTCAATAATGTGTTAATAACTAGTTATATGAGCAAATTCTATTTATATATTAAACATTTTATAGTAGTAAAATATTTAAATGGGTTCAAATAATTATTATAGACACATGTTTTAGTGTTAGTAGAGAATATACCAGAACATATTTATGTATATATATTGTGGTTCCCATGTTCTCTCTGTATAATAATACGTACAACTCTTAAAAAACTAGTTGATCATAAATTAGGTAATATGACATATGTGAAAATAGACTTTATTGCAGTTACTCAAATGCAGTTATACTACAACATAATGCTTAGTATTTATTTTTATTCATAATTTGTATTTGATTTTAAGTTATGAAAACAAGTAGGTATAAAGATGACCCTGACAAAATGTGTTAGATCGTCATACTACGTCATTTCTAATGAATAAATGTAAATATTATCTAAAATAAATGTTTAAAGAAAATCATTAAACCTATTTTTAACTTAAAATAAACAAACATACATTTGATTCACAAATATTGCGTGTTGAATGACATATTAAATACCTACCTCAAATTAAATGTTTAAATATTATATCTATGATTATCAACTACCTATATGGTTTCAATGTTCAATATTTTTCTCTAAATTCAACATATTATTTTAGAATACAGTTTTGTTTTATAAAACTGTATGTTATTACTTATTAATATTATTGCTTATTTTATATTTCAATATTTGTATGTAACCCGTCAGTGATGTCTTATCATTAATCATTCTCGCGTGTCATCTCCAAATTAATTTATAATTTTTTTAATAGATTACATTTCCATATTATCGTAATATATATTTATGTATACATATAGGACACAAGAATTATATATTACAGTAATGCAAATTGTAATGTGTAATATACACGCATTTATCTAGATAATATATTTAACAGATACATAGGACTACGCGATAGGTAGGTACTTTATGATGTAATAAATAATAGTTTAGTTCTATGACATCAAGAACTATTTTACTTCGATACGTACATTTTCACACCGCTTACGGCGCTTACTGTTACGATATTAATCTTTTTTTTTCGTTGAGAAATGTAGTTATCATAATAGTTAAATATTCATTTATCAAATTATAATCCTATGCTAAACAAATAATCTATTATTAAAACTAAAAATTGTCATTCATATATTATTTTTATAGTGATGGTAGATACCTTTTTATAATATCGTTATTGTATTAGACATTTTTTAAACGCTGATGGTGGTTGTAAATAGTTATTTATTGTTCAAATCAGTTTTATCGAGTTTCTGAGTTTTAAATTAAAAATTTCAGAATTTATATTAAATTCAATTATTGTAGAATGTACATAGTTGCGATTTAAAAGAGAGCTGTAGTTAATGTATATAGTTATTTTATTATATACATTATACATAATATATAATAGTATAATAGTATAGCAATACACATAAAAATAGGTTTATGAGTAATTGCATGTTTAGTTATACAATGACGATAGTTAACATAAGTATTTTATTTTATAAAAATCAAATAAATATTATAATAATTGTTATACTTAATCGCTATTTTTTAATAGATATTCTATAATTTTAATTTTGGTACTTATTATATTATGATTCCATTAGATATAAATATAAATACGAGAAAATATCTCATTATTTATTATTAGTTTAGTAATATTATAGGTACCTATTATGGTAAATACTCGTATTATACATGTTTATATAATGTCACCACCACCGTTTAGTTTAGATATATATACATATCAATTAAATCAGAATAAATTTCCATTAAATATTTTATTTTATTAATTAATAATTAATATGTATGCTTAATGTACGTTATTGGTTATAAAATAATATTTAAGCAATATGGAGTTAAAAAAAAAAAAAAACATGTACAGAATACCTATTCAACTATTTAACAGAAAATTCAAGGTTAGATTAGATGTACCTATCTAATATCTATATTGTTATACTTTAAAATTTTTTTTTTATTTGTGATTTAAATATATATTAATATACTTTTTACTTTTCTGTCAATACGAGTATAGTAAAATTAATTTTTTTTATTAAAATATTATTTTGTTAACGACCCAAGAACAAAAATGTTATATATATATATATATGAAATGTATATTATGTATATTAATATAATACATAACATATATAATGTATGTATGCATCTACACTTCGGTTAAATCTATTAAAATATAAATGAAAATAATATAGTTTGTTTAATATAGGCAAATTAAATTAATTTGTCTGACATATTTTTTTATAGATTCTGTAGGCTATTAGTTTATAGAAATAAATAATGTTGTCGTAAAACCATAAAAAAGATCTTGTTTATCCATGATGTTGATTTTATATAAACGTAGTTACCTAAGTATCTACCTAATATTTATTCGATTGATGTTTAATGTCTGTTCATTTATTGCCTCACTGTTATTAACGTTTATTTTTTAAAATATATTTTACGATGCGACAGATATTTTATGGCTGCATCCTAGTTCCGTCCCAAGAACCTTTTTTCATATCAATTCCGTCCCTGTTAGTAAAAAGATATATACCAATTCCGTCCCTGTTAAAAAAAAAAAATATATACTAATTCCGTCCTTAATCATTTTTATAATTTGGTTTTAATAATTTGTATAATTATAAAAAAATATAAGTATTCATATCATTTACATTTTCATAAGTTAATCGACAAAACATTGATAAGTTTATCAAACAACACTCATTATTTCAAAAAGTATTGA